ACATTGCCAGAATGTTAGGGAAGTTCTGAGAACATTCCTTGTTAGCTGTATCATGAGAAAAGCCAGTTTCTTCAATATTCTAATTGAACATTTGTAACTGCTATCTGATAAACATGAGTTAAATATTGAGGAAATATTTACCTAATATTATTTTTATTGATATTATCAGCATCTATTTAGACAATGTCAAAATTATAAGTTGTTGAGATAAGTTTGGAGTGACATGCAAGTGAGTAAATAATGACAGAATTTTCATATTTGGGTGAACCCAAACATCTTTCTAGCAACAGTAGTGCTCACACTTGCAAACTGACTCTTACCTTGTTTTCGTCCACTGTGCTTTGCCATTTGCCCCAGACCTGATTCCTGTTCACGAATATGGGGCATTTTCAACCCTTTAACATTATACCACACACCAATATAGTTTGGCTTAAATTGAAGCTCATCTCACTTTCACAATCTACCTATAGTGTCAGATATTACTTAAGGTTATCATCCAATAAATAAATTTTGTTGTGAAGAACTGCGGTCTCAAATTATCTTTATGTTTCCGAAGGGATCCGAGTATTAATCCTTAAGAGATGCGGTTCGGGGATGTATGTCGTAAAAAGATATAGCCAATTTACAGCAGCTTTACAAGAATTCCCATAGGGACTCCACTCCCATCCTAGCAGACTAAATTGGCCCTTTCAGCCTCACTTCTCTTGCTCCCCTTCTCTCGCTCACTCTCTCTCTTTCTCTCTTTCCCTTCCTTTCACTCTTGTCTGGCAAGTTTCCATGGAAACAAAGGGTAGGGAGAAGACCCTAATGAGTAGGTGTGTGTCTCACTGAGATGAACACATATATTGTTGAGATATGGATACACACACACACACACACACACACTCCAATTCCAAAGAACTGTCGCTCCTGCTACTGAACTGTTGTTTGGCTCGTCGTTCTTGATTTCTCATTTGATGTCTATGACACGTCCAGTTGAAAAGAAATAGTTTAATTTACAACGTATTTCCCCGCTGAGGTTATTTATAGACTTTATGTGCTGTTTCACAACACTGTAAAAAAATATTGTTGTTTTAACTTAAAAAAAGGAAGTAACCTGGTTGCCTTAAAATTTTAAGTTCATTGAAATGAAGTTAATACAATGAAGGAGATTGATTTAATCATCAGAAACTCAAAATATTATGTCATCTGAACTTCGTAAATTATTTAAGTTGATTTGACAAAAGAAAAAATTATGTGATTACAAATCATGAAAATATTTTTTTACAGTGTAAAATAAACCAGTTTCATATAAAAATTATTTGTATGTTTATGAAAATTTTCTGTACCACATTTCCAAAAATCAGAAGTCACAAACTTCAGAGTTCTGGTGTCTCTAATGATTAATGTGCACTGTAAAAAAATAATGTTGGTTAAACTTAAAAAATGAAATAACCTGTCTGTCTTAAAATTTTAAGTTCGTTGACATGGACAAATTGAGTTAATACAATGAAGGAGATTGATTTAATCACCAGAAACTCAAAATATTATGTTATCTGAACTATATAAATTTTATATATATTTTTACTGTACTTTTATATACTGTGGAAACAAATAATACTTTAAAAGTAAAATAAAAGTAATTAAAAATTATTTGACAGATAGGATCAAAGCTTTAACCTTTTTTTGTTTCTCGAAGACGTTTAGAAGGATATTTTGAGTATATTTTCTATTCCAGCAGTAATTCATCTGATGATCGAATGATGGAGAAGAGTGTTATATCTGAGCAAACATCACAGATGCACATGTATAGTGCACACTTTTTACATTTTAAACCGCTGATTCAGCATCCTCCACAACTTCTCACTCCCAACCGGCCTTCAATTCCTTTGGTGAATCATGTGCCGAAGCAATTCGAAACACACCTGCAAATGATGCTATCAGCAGGTGCAGTTCATTCTTAGTGAATTCTCCAATTGAAGCTCCAACCACCCCCTTCAATGATATGTATGCATTTATATTAACTTAACAGGAGGGTTAAATCAGTGTAGTTTTTATTTCCCTCATTGAAATTCCAGTGGTGTACAGTCATTGTAATGTCAAGGTAATGCACACACCCTCTTCTCACACACTCCAGGAGTAGAGACTGCAAACCTCATAATTATATCGTTCACAGCATCTGAAAGCCAAACTCAACACCTCTTAGCCTGCGTGAGATTAGTATACATGCTCCCCATTGATATGACTGTGTATAAGAGTGCGATAAAAAAGGAGAGGGAGAGAAACAAAAATAGGCCTGTTTGGTCAATGTGCTTACTACAGAGGGAATATTTCACAAAATCATTCTCACTGTCACTGTCTTATTTAGTGCAAATATATGCGAGTTTATATACTAATGTGTGTGTGGACAAACATTATGGAGATAAAATGTCCCCAGAAAGATGGCAATCTCCAAAAAACAATGTCCTTGTGGGGAGATTTTTGGTCCCCGTGAGGAAAACAGCTTATAAATCAGAAGTGCTGTTTTTTGAAAATGTGAAAACGCAGGGTTTTTTGTTTAGGGGTCGGGGTAGGCTAGGTGTTGAAATATATAGTTTGTACAATACTATAAAAGTCTTTACGTCTGTGGGATGTCCCCATAAGACATAAAAACCCAACTTGTGTGTCTGTGTGAGTGAGTGTGTGAAGCAGATGTTGTCTTAAGCTGTATGTTAGTGATCCTCTACATGAGTTCAGACGAGCTAGCTTTACACTACAATGGTCACACTGTCCCCTGAGCACATAGCCTGACACACACACACACACACACAAAGACATTTACCCACACCAAAGTGGACAAAGCTCAATGGACTAGCCAGGATCCTAAGGGAAAGGGGCCTTAGGGAAGCCATACCTAGTGCATAAGCTAACAAATCCAGCCGCCTGATGGAATAACAGAGACATTCTGAGAAATTAATTTCTGAGAGTTACAGAGAAAATTAGTGCAGCCAAATGAGGATATTTCAACTGCACAACAAATTACACTGGAGTCACTTATTTGGGGAAATGTGCGGCTCACGACTACCGATAAGCAAAGAATAAAACAAATGCTAATGGCCCAATTTATCCTCAGTTTTATTAAAAAAATGTATGTTAACTGCTTATGGAATCGCTTAAAATTAACTGTTCAGATTTATGTGTGATCTATTATGTGATATAAATGTCCTGGAGACTTAATTAATAATTAATACAGTTTAACACTGCAATAAAACGCTCTTTGTTATACTTTCCTTTCTGTCTGAGGACAACACACATTAATCAACATTTCTGTAAATGTGCCAATGTCAGCCAGCTAGACTAACTTTTCACCTGCAGTCCTTTTGTACCAATTGTAACTGAATTCAGTAAATTAAATCTCTAGCAAGAAGTAGTGCACTGCATACTATGGTGCTGTTGGGAAAGCACATGAATAAGGAAAATGTCCTTATTACTCTTCGCTTCAATGATAACTCCACCATAATAGAAAAGCTGCATAAAAACACAACAGAACATTAAATATTAATTATATTTATATTGAAAAAACTTTTTTTCATCCTGCATAAAAACACATGAAGTAACATTTAATTTCAACATTTACTCTCCGTGTCCTGTCCTACTCAACGCATGCTGAGAACTACAAATCCCCTGTCCAGATTCAGCAATGCTGCCTTAACGCAGATGGAAATTATTCATGTGATTCCAACACAAATAGATTATGTAAACCACTTCTTGAATTGTGACAAAATATTCAAGAATTGTGTTAGCTCAATTTAATTAAAGGGTTAGTTCACCCAAAAAAAAAAATTAAGTCATTAATTACTCAACCCCCATGCTGTACCAACCCCGACTTTCGTTCACCTTCGGAACACAAATGAAGATTTTTTTTATTAAATTTGAGAGGTGGATCACTCCTAGGGTCCCTAAAAAAATGATATGTTGGCTTTAATTAACTTATTTATGTTAATAGGTTCCAGAAATGCACTTTTTTATGTCAACAGATTCCACACAACTAGGTTACGTTAAACAAACAAAAAAATAATTTGTTCATTTAGCTTCAACATCATGGATGTTGAATTCATTTTAAGCGACCCAATTAAGCGCAGAGTGTGAAATGAACACTGAAGCAGTGTTAAAGTTGATGAACAGCCCAACTAAAACACACCATGATCACCATAATGGTGACTTGCAAATTCTGGTTTTCTCCTTCAGTGATTCTGCTTGTTACCATCAGGTGTCTTCAATAATTATCTCATTAACTTTAACACTGCTTCAGTGTTCATCGCTTAAAAGTACTTAATTCCATAATTTTGAAGTTACATGAACAAATTATGTTTGTATAACGTAACCCAGTTATGTGGAACCTGTTGACATAAAAAAGTTAATTATAGCCAAGTTGCCAACATGTCATTTTTTTGAGTTTTTCTGGGCCATCAAGTTTCAATCCCTCACTCCTACAGGCATCGTGGAAATCTCTTGAACTCTCATCTCAGGCCCACACAAGTTCTCAAATTTAATCAAAAATAACTTCATTTGTGTTCCGCAGATGAACGAAGGTCTTACGGGGTTGGTACAGCATGGGGGTGAGTAATTAATGACTTAATCCCTTTAAAGGCATAGTCCACCGAAAATGAGAATTCTTCTTCTGTGGAACATGCTGATAACCAAACAGTTTTGTTTCCCTTTGACTTCCATTGTATTTTTTTATCCATAATGTTTTGCAGAAACAAAAGAAAGTCATATGAGTTTGGAATGACTCGAGGGTGTGTAAATGATGACGGATTTCTCATTTTTGAGTTGACAATTTCTTTAGGTAGAAAACCATGACAGATGAAAAAGTGCATAGGAAAAATGTGATTTTTATTGTGGGATGTACATGCCCCTACACCTATTCGTCACCCTAAGAAAACTGTTCTCATTAAAAACAACCCCAAGGGCAATGGCAAATCACAGAAGTTGTGTATTACAGTGCAGCATTTAATGATCTCTCTCTGTTTGATCCACAGATTCTGATCGAGCACGAGATGGCGATGATGCTTGAGGTTGGCTACGATTGCTTACATGCACACTGAAGTGTCTGAAGTCTTCCCTTAGCACAGCTTGAGCACCATCCCTTTCCAACACATAAGAGGACCAAAGATTGTCATAAGATTGACCCACTAATCTTTCCGCAGCATGGCTCAGAGGTCCACTCATTTCGGAGGTCACGGTCCCTCCTGGCCGCTTCATCTCACTCTTCTGCTGCTTCTATTGGCCAGGACACCCCAGGCTTTGGCTATCCCAGGTTACAACACTGACATCACCAAGAAGGAGATCATAATCGAGGGGGATCTGGTGATTGGAGGCCTGTTTCCTGTTCATCAAAAGGGGGAGGGGGCTCAGGACTGTGGCCGTATCAATGCACAGAGAGGGATTCAAAGACTGGAGGCAATGCTGCTAGCCCTGGACGAGATCAATCAAGATGATCAGATTTTGCCCGGGGTAACGTTAGGTGCCCACATTCTGGACACTTGCTCTAAGGACACGTACGCACTGGAGCAGTCGCTCGAATTTGTGCGCGCTTCGCTAACGAAAGTGGACGATAGTGAGTACACGTGCCCGGATGGATCCTACGCCATCCATGATGATGTTCCGCTCGCAATCTCTGGAGTGATTGGAGGCTCCTACAGTGATGTATCCATACAGGTACTGATTCCTATCACCTATTTTAAAAGTGTTTATTCATGTTTGTGTTTCCTTCCAGAAAAAAAAAATCTTGTTAATCAGATTATGTCATAAATATGCATGAGGATTCATTTGCATGTATATTGTGTTTATCACACTGCATGTGGCTGTCATTCAGCCATTTGCACAAGCCTACTGTATAGTTCAGTTAACCCTGTAGAGTCAACTGTAGCATAATTGAGATCAACACGATCAAAACTTTGCTAAAGATAATTTTTTTAGTAGGCTATAATTCTAAAAAGTCTACCTTTAGGTTGTATGTCTTTTTGCTGTGAAATCGTTACTGATTTTTATAAATTAAATGTAAGAAATTAATGTTATGTTGTTAGTTATATTTAAAGATAAATACTTAATGGACTGAACTCCACTGAAGCAACTTAAGTTTACTTTATTGTCCATATATTATGTTAAAATGTAAGGATACAGGCTTTTGAGGAACGTTTATAACAATGATACTCCATAAAATTGTTTACATTGTTATTCATTTTGCCAATCTTTACAGGGTTAAGCAAAAAAATATATATTATTGGGTAACTCAGATTTTAAGTCCGCAAGTTTTAGCAACGGCACTGCAAATATTTCCAAAAGTACAAAAGAACTTATTTGTTCAGTGTTTTGAACAAATAATTTTTATACGAATCAGGATTTTTGAACAAATTAGATGATTGATTCAATGACTCATTCAAAGAGACAGTCAATTGTATTGTTGCAGATTAATCAGAATTATTGAGTGAATTGGCTGAGTTATTCATCCAATGATTTACACATAAAGACAAGGGCTGGATCCAAAATGGCATACTTCTCTACTAGGTGACAAAAACAGTAGGTGACAAAAGTATTAAGTCACATTTACAGTACTCATAAAAGAGCAGGCAAAAAGTACCCGGGAGACCTATTGATTCTGAAGTGTGCATTTGAATGGCAGTGATACGACACAACTGACGCTGGTAGATACTTTAATGCTGAATTTAATACTTCCGGATTACACTTTTACTATATTTAGTACTATATAGAACATACTTTTGTAGATTCCACAAAGTAAGTACCTATTAAAAATAAGTGTCTACTCAAAAAAAGTGTGTGATTTCAGATGTAGCCAGTCACTTGTATCCTTCCTGAATGAATCAGTGTTTTGAAGGAATCGTTAGAATGAAAGATTCACTGACTCGCTTATATAGACAGTATATTGCCGCCACCTACTGGCATAACAATGTAACATGCAGAAAGAGTCACTGAAAAATTCCTAGCTCTAATGAACAGACTGACAGTATTTATCTATACTTTCTTTCGCTGTGAACAAAACTAGGTATATTTAACAATCTCACTTACAGTATGTGGTTCATACTGTAGCATTTAGTAAGACAAATCAGCAGTCTCTTAATGAGGAAAAAGTAGTGCTGGTGTCTGGCTACCTGTCATCCATATGCTCAACCCATCCAATTTGCCACCAACCATGTGGCGTTTCCTGACACTCCCTGGGATGTCATGAGCAGACGTGCTGCAGATGTTCGCTTTAAGGAATCAAGACAGTGACAGCTTGATTGGACTCTCCACTAATCTGCTGTCTGAAGAGCGAAATATATTAAAAAAAGAGTTGTATAATTACAACAAAATGTCTAATTGATTGACTTAATCAACATGCCTGTTTTATGAAAGTTCTTGCATTAATGAAGGTTCATCTACACTCTATCGTGAATGAATCAGACTGGAAGGCTGCTGTGGTATCGGAAATTTACCACATTTAATTTCAGTCCCATCTGGCTCTTTACATGCTCTCAAAATGTGTCTTACACATTCATATCCATCAGAATGCTCTCATCTTACCTTCAGGGATATTGTACTTTTGAATTTCATTTTATTACTATTTTTAATTTGTCTTTTCAGTGTGGTTTAATTTTTGTTACTTTCACACATTTTTAATGTAAGTGTGTTCAAAATTTGAAACCATTAAGAACGATAACTATAGACAATGATAACTATATTAGCATCCACACCAGCAGACAATGTCTTTCTGTTTATTCTAAGCGCGTACAATAATCGGCTGAATAAAATAATTCTGAAAGACATTTCAATGATATCATTTCTCTAGTAATTTCACTAATAATTTGAAGTAAAAAATGCATAGAGTTACACTTAAAGCTACACTGTGTAACTCTTTTAGTTTATTCTTAGCTAAAAACACTTAGTTCTTTCAAAAATATATGTGCTGATTAATGTATATTTACTTCGTTCAAGTAATAAATTATTCTCGTGAGTGTATAATATGCCATTGAAAATAGATACAGGTAAGGGGTTCTAATTTCAGTCGCCATGTTGTCCCTCCATCTTGAAAGTACATTAGCCAAAGAGGGACATACCCGTTAATTCAAGCTTTGCCTTTCGCGTTTACGTTTGCGTTAACACTCATGGACGAGGTCGAACTGGAAGCCATGTTAATCTTGGACTACATTGGCCACCGTAGGAGTTAAAACGAAATCGGAATTGAGAGCAACAGAAACTAATATTCACTGGATGGTCATATACCTTTTCACCGCTAGATGGGGGTAAAAATCACACAGTGTAGCTTTAAGGACATAGCAGAATATCATATTGGGGTGAGCTCTTTTGACCCAGAACCACCTATTAACACCCTTATATTGTGGAGGGGACTTTTGCAGAACAAGTCACATTTTCTTTTAAAAATGAATCTTGATTAATTAATGTAACATTTTTTTTTTTTTTAAATGCTTGGTGTGACAGGTCTGGGTGCTTTTTAAAGTTACACTGTGTGATTTTTACCCCCATCTAGCGGTGAAAAGGTATATGACCATCCAGTGCATATTAGTTTCTGTTCATCTCAATTCTGATTTGTGGCCAATGTAGTCCAAGATTAACATGGCTTCCAGTTAGACCTTGTCCATGAGTGTTAACTCAAACGTAAACGCGAAAGGCGACGCTTGAATTAACGGGTATGTCCCTCTTTGGCTAATGTACTTTCAAGATGGAGGGACAACATGGCGACTGACATCAGAACCCCTTACCTGTATGTATTTTCAATGGCATATTATACACTCACGAGAATACTTTATTACTTGAACAAAGTAAATATACATTAATGAGCAAATATATTTTTGAAAGTATTTTAGCTAAGAATAAACTAATAGAGTTACACCGTGTAGCTTTAAGATCTATCTGCTGCAAATACCAATAGTACATTTGAAAATTTAAGCCTTACTGAATTGAAATAACAAGTTCATTATTTTTCCCCCAACAGAAGAATGTTGGCTGATGAATGGATGCTTTAAGTAACACATTAAAATCAGTGTCAGTCAGATACGTGCTGCGGTTGAGGTATATGAGTCGCTCTGTGAGGTGGACACAGAGAGAGAAATGTGTTCATTCTTAAGGTTTCACGAGCATAATCACTGCAGTGCCCGCACAGGGACATGGAATGCATTAATAATGCAGAAAAAAAAAAACAGACAAGGAGGAAGAGAGAGATGAGTATATGAAATTTTATTTTATCACAGTACAGAAATCCCCATCTTCTCCCTCTCGTTTCTGCTCAAACTGTTGTTTCCTGTTTTTGTTTTTATTGATCTTGCTTATCTTGAATCTGTTGTGTGTCTTATGCATATGTAGCCTACACATACACTGTTTTCTTTCCACTGCCGTAAAGGGACACTTCGGGCAGTGGTGGGAGATGTAGAGTGAGCGAGACTCATCTAGCATCTCTCTGAAGCATGTCGCTGGGGAATCCCAGTTCCTGTGCCATTTTCCACCACATCATTTCCTTTAAAGAAATATTTCCCCCTAAAATGAAGATTCGGTCATTTTCTTTATACTGTGGAACAAGCTGTTCTGAGCTGAAAAACAAAGCATATTGCTTAAAATACATTTATTTCATTCAATACAGTTACATATTTGGGTACTTAATAAAAATATTCTGCACTTTATTTTTGGTTTATTAAATCGGCATACTTAAAGTCTGCTAAATTAGAACAACTAATTTTATACGTAAGGCACTTTAGTTAACTAAAAGTAGTCCTGAGGGTCAATTAAAGAAATACTTAAGAATATTTGATTGTGCTAAAATGGAAATATTGCACAAAAAAAAAACTATCGAAAATATTTAAAGGTATATTTTAAAAATCTTGCATTCAAAGACTGACATTATACAGAGATCATACTACTAATAGTGATATTTATACACATTTTCAGCTTAGTATATATATATATATATATATATATATATATATATATATAAAGAAGTACTTTAAATAAAGTTTATTTATCAGTAAGTCTCAAGCAATATGTCAGTAAATATGTTAATGGTTATGAAATAAATGTATTTCAAATGCATTTTAGTATAGATTTCTTTCATTTGGGCATTTACTGTATTTTATATGCTTTATTCCATTGGCTTTCGTGACATACAATATAATTTTGTGAGTAAGTAAGCATATTTTCAAACTAAAATACATTAAAATAAACTACCATTCAAAGTTTTGGAGTCAGTAATATTTTCTTTTTTCTTTTTTTTTAAATAAATGAATATTTTCAGCAAGGGTGGCTTAAATTGATCAAAGTGATAGTAAAGACATTTATAATGTAACAAATGATTTATTTCAAATAAATTCTGGTATTTTGAACTTTTATTCTTCAAAAAAATCCTGAATAAAGACCAAAAAAGCAAACTGTTTTGAAAATTCATAAAAATAAGAAATGTTTCTTGAGCAGCAAATCATCATATCAGAATGATTTCTTAAGGATCATGTGACACTGAAAACTGGAGTAATGTTGCTAAAAACCTAGCAATAAATTACATTTTAAAATAAAAAAGAAACAGTTATTTTAAACTGCAATAATATTTCTAACTAAGTATTACTGTTTTTTTTTTTATCAAATAAATGCAGCCTTGTAGAGCAAAAGTAGTCTCACCAACCCCAAACTATTTAGTTAATAATATATCTTTTTTATTA